AATGAGTTTAAACTCTCAAGGAAAGGTTAAATCATTTCTAATCCGTTGAGCAGGATGAAACTTGTATTCTTACTATACTACATATTCGTATGCTACATATTCTTCTGAAGTCCTATAATTGGTACTATTTTCTGTATTTGTCTGTGTTGCTGAAAATTTAGGGACTTATTTCAGTCAAAGGGTTTGCTGTACTTTTTTTTTTTTTCTCTTTACTTGAATGACTGCCCCAAATGGCTCCACGTAGTGAGTGGCAAACATGAGGAATGAAGAGAATGGAGATTGTTGAGCTATGGAATGAAGAGAACGGAGAGTGCCTGTTGAGAAAGTAGTTGCCTGCCTCTGGAGTGCAAACATTTGCCTTGCATTTGGGGGAGGCAAGTTCCATGAAAATATGTGCTTGGTGGGTCTCTTTTTGCTTCATCCTCCTCTTGTCTGCTACCTGGCTCTTCCTGTATTACCTGCATCCTTCTGGGCTGTAATTGTAATCCTGGTCCCCTGTGGGCCAGCTCTTCTGGCAGGGCCTTTTCCCCCAAAGGTTATGAGTCAGAGTTTACCATATACCTTTGACAAACGATTTTATTTTAACTGGACTTTTTCTTGGGTAAGAAATCGTGTGCAAGCATGAGGAGCTGTGTCCAAATCCCCAACACTCATATAAAAAGTAAGAGGAGGAGCTGGAGTGACAGCTTAGAGGTTAAAAGCATCTTTTCCTCTTGCAGAGGATCCAGATTTGATTTCCAGCACCCACATGGCAGCTCACAACTGTCTGCAAATCCATTCTCAGCAGGTCCAAACTCTCTGGCCTCTAGACACTAGACACCCATGTGATACACACATGTATACACACACACACACACACACACACACACACACACACACACACACACCACATGTCAAATACTTACACGAATAATCTTTTAAAAGTTGGGCATGGCTGCATGTGCCTGTACCCTCAGAGCTGTAGAGGGTTGGAGACAGGAAGACCTCTGAGACTTGCTGGCCAGCAGCCTAGGATAGGTTCCTTGAGAGACCATGTCTTTAGGGAAGAGATAATGGGTGACATCAAGCCATCAAGATATCAAGATATGGTGGGTAGTGCCTGTAATCCCCAATACTTCATGGGAGGTTGAGATAGGAGAAGTGCCAAGAGTTCAAGTCTAACCTGAACTGCAGAATGATTTCATGGCCAGCCTGGGCTATAAAATGTCTCAAAAACAAAAAAATCAAATCAAACTGGAACACTTGCCTTTAAATCTTCCTTCTGACCTGTCTCTGAGCATCCAAGCGCCTCATGGCACCATGGGGTAGTGAGCGGGAATAGAAATGACTGGTGATGAAGTCCCTGTGTGGACAAGATGCTGTGGTGACCAGACAGGGGGGAGTGGGGATGAGTCATTTGTCAGGGAGCCATACTTTGCCACCCAGGACCACATTTTCTTAAAGTATATCAGTCCTTCAAACAAAAACGATTTGTGAATGCCTGTTGATCATGTACAGATGTGTTGTGTCTTCTGCATGCTAAGAAAGGAAACACAAGACCTCCCTAAGAACCAAATGCCTCATCTTTGCAGAAATTAGGAGACAAAAACACGCACCAGCTGCCTAAATGTGTAGATGCATTTGAAAGTGCTTGTTTATTAGGGGCTTTTGAATTTAGTAAGGATAGACATACCTCAAGAATCAGAGTGAGAAAAAGTAGCAAATATTTTGAGCTTTTAAAATTCCAGGGCTTAGCAGTATTCTCCACAGAGTAAAAGGCATTATTAGATTGTGTGTTTCCTTAAGGGCTAGGTTTTGTCATGCTGGAAATCTAATGCTGCCTGTGCACCTGGAAGCAACACTGTCTACAAAGCAAAATAATTCATAGAACGTTCTGGAACTCAAGAGATCTGAACCTATGGCTTGAATCCCTCAGATGACTGTGGCCATGACACACAGCTAAAATTCTGTCAGCTTCCGGTTCCTTTCTCTGGAGTTAGAGAATTACGGGATAGGTTTTCCAATGTGTTCAAAACATAGATCCATTCCTGGAATAAATGGGAAAAAAAAAAAAGAGGTTGAACAAAAACACAGAGAAGTCCTTCCAGTTTTAGAATTTCACAACCTTAGAATCCTAAACTCAATCATTAACATTGGAGGCATTCCATCCTGCTCTGGTAGATGTCACATGGAGTGGCTACCAAGGCCATCTGGGAAGGGGTGAAGTGATGGGGTGGGATTAATGGTTAACAGTTTGTCTTTCCTATGGTCCTTTGCTGGCCTGTCCACAGCCTGGCCTCATCTGCCCCACCTGCTTTTTCATTTCTCACTCCACATTTACTGACAGAAAATCTTGGGGATCCTGTTACACCCTCCAGGATCCCCCATTTCCACCTGGAAAGAAAGGATGGGACACAGGGCTGAAAGCTGGAATTCCTAGGAGCTCAGAGGAGTGTGCAAGAGAGGAGTGTGCAAGAGACTCCCTTCCCACCCCTTCCCCTTTTCTTCACTCGTGAATGGAAATAAAACAATGAAATCGGTCAATTACTTTGAAACCAAATAAGGAGTTCCAGGCTCCTTGAAAACCTTCAGACATATATGGGGAAATGTGACCATGTCTGGTTTGCCAAGGCCCACTTTCTTTTCTTAGTGAAAAGAAAGCCATAGTCTTGCCAGAGAACAGAAATATCCCTTAAATTATATAGAGTCATAGAACTGTGCTGTCAGTGTTTCTTGTGCCATGTCAGATCTGTTCCGTTTCAAACAAAGGGCATTGTTTTGTTTGTTTGGTTTGGTTTTGGTTTTGGTTTTTTTTGGTGGCTCACATAAGAATTATATCCTCCGTGCCAGTGGTGGTGGCGCACGCCTTTAATCCCAGCACTCGGGAAGCAGAGGCAGGCGGATCTCTGTGAGTTCCAGGCCAGCCTGGTCTACAGAGTGAGTACCAGGAGAAATCCTGTCTTGAAAAAACAAAAGAAAAAATTATGTCTTCCTTTATTCATTCACTTATTAAACATGTGAGGGCCAGGAGAGTAGTAATCTGTCAATTTGGGCATAAATTAAACCCTGAGCTCCGTCAGGCTCCGAGATTGTAGAAACACACATACATCTTCTGGCCCCCCAGGACACTGAGAGTTCAAGAAGTGAAGATCAGGCTGCGCTCTGATTGGACTGATGGCATTAGCATCCTGAGCTTTGGCTTTTGTGCTCGTTATCTGATGAGGGTTCTCAAAGACCAGGTCTAGTGCATTCTGGGCACTGTGAGTCATCAGAATTTAGCTGGAGCCTACTGCATTTTGGATACTGTAGGTCCTTAGGACCTGTCTGGAATCTGGATCAGGACTAGCAGAACCGGAGAAGGAGGCTGGGCCAGCACACAAAAATTCTGTCCTCCATGACCTTAGGATAGTAGCGAGCCAATGAAGGGGCCCAAGGCAGAGAGGAAAGCTTTTAGATGTTTGTTTTGGAGGGAATCACTCAGGCTGCAGTTGTAAACAGGCCAACCTGGCAGGCCACACTGGGAGCTGAAAGGCTGGTGCAGCATCTATATGAGGAAGAGGAGCCTGAATAAAGGCCAGGGCTGTGGGCAAGGGAGGATCCATAGTCAAATAACTGAGGATGAGTGAATGCAGAAAGGTGACCAGGCCACTGCTGGATAGATTTGAGTTGTCCCCCCCCCACCTGTGCCCCAAATATAAGTGAGGTATTCAGCCCGTGCTTTTGATTCCAAGTCCTCCATATTTGAAGCTACAGACCACTCCCTTCCTCTGTGGTGTGTGGGAAGGGAAGATGGTGACTTCTGTTTTGGGACACTGAGTCAGTGGTCCCTTAAGGGCATCTTTCAGCTTTGCTGTAATGAGTCACAGTTCAGAATCTCATGGAACCAGGTCTGTGGGGTCTCAGCATAACGCAGCTACTGAGATAGCTGAGATCCAGGGACCAGGGTGTGGGAGCTTAATGGGTGCAGGCGGAGGAACCAGTAGAGCAAGACAGGAAGGAATAGCCTGAATGGTCGGTCACTGGTGCATTAGATAAACTGGCAAACAGGGAGCCAAGGAAGGGCAACATACTGTCAAGTGTTGCAAGACATGGAATGATGTTCTTTGGACGAAGCAATAACTGCCTGGCAGGTCAGAGGTAATTGTAGCAAAGGCAGCTTTAATTTAGTGGTTAATATGAAATACCTCCAACATAGGTTTTAATTCATGTCAGTTTCAGAATTCTATCTTGTTCTTATGTGATATATTTTGCTAAATAGCTTAACATCATTTTCAACTGTTGCCAAACACATATAACAAAAGTTTTACCATGTCAACCATTTTTAAGCATCACAATTTATACTTAATGTGACTCATTCATATTTTTGTACAGAAGAATGGTTTTTGATATTAGCAGTTGTTTGTTACTCATGGGTAGAAAACCTAGACTATAACGCATGTCAGTAATGATTTTCCTTCAAGTCCCTGAAGCATATTCCCAGGTTTTAATGCCGAGAATTCAGACACATAAGCAAGGTGCAGTTGCACTCTGGTTAGGTGTTGTGTTGTCCACACTGAAAGGCAATACATGACAAATTGCTGTACTGACAACCTGCCTCTGTCCAACATCCGTGTGAGTGTGTACACAGGTGCACGACTACATGTAAGCAGCTCATAGAGCTGGGTCCAGCCAGCATCAGACTGTAAGCCGAGCCCACCACTCTCAAGTTGCCTTGAGTGAGTTTCTCCTGTACTTCTTGGACTCAGTTTTCTCTCCTCCTGGAGATCTGTGCAGGTGGTGAGGAGGATAAATGTAGTCATAGGCCTAAAGCCCCAAAGTTCCAGAGAGAAGTTTGTGGACCTTGGCTTATGTGTGTGCTCCCTGTGACAAGATGGGATGTGACAGTTACCATTCTGTTGAAGGCATGATTCCTCAGTGGAGAAAGCCAGCCCCTCCTCTTCTAGCAGGACCTCTGGGTGGAGGTTTCTGTGGCTCACAGCAGGCTTGGCACTCTCCTGTGGAAAGAGATCGAGCTAAGGGTGGTTCCCAGTTTAGCAATGCAAAGCAGGCTGACTAGGTGTGCAGTGAGAGGGAGCCAAGAATCTGCTTTGTAATTGCTCTCCTAGGCCTCAGGCAGAGTTCTATGTCTTGTTTTTTCTTTTCTTTCTTCTTCTTCTTCTTCTTTTTTTTTTTTTCATACTAGCCATTTAAAAGTCTAGAAAAATTTTCCTGGACCAGTCATCCTGGGCTCTTCTCTCAGACCACCATAATATCATCACTCATAGAGCGACCTATAAAAAGTACCAAAGATAGTGGTGTAAATATTCCAGTCATCCAGTTTCTCCATATTTTTATTTTATTTTATTTTATTTTGTGATACTAGGGATGGAACCCAGAGCTTTAGGCAGGTCGGACCAGTGTTCTACCACTGAGCTATATATTCCTATGTTCCCTCTGTGTGTGTGTGTGTGTGTGTGTGTGTGTGTGTGTGTGGTTTGTGTATAATTCTAGAGACAGGGTCTTGCTCTGTTGCCCAGGATTGGGTCTTATAGTACTTCTCCAGCCTCAATCTCTGCAGGGCTGGGATGACAGACATGCACCACCATGCCTCACTTCCTTTTCTGTAGTTTTAAAATATTAACTCACAAAGAAGCGTGCCTTATTTTTAAAGCAGCCATTTGCTGTGCTCTGACCTAAAGTGTTCTTTGTCTGACTTATTGAAGGATAGTGGGTGCTGCCTGTAGAGCAGCCAGTGTGAGGGTCGCTCCCAGTCCAGGTAAAGCTGCTGAAGGGAGTCTTGCTTCGTTAAGCAGCAGCAGGCTTGCTCTGTTTGTATTTTCAAAGTACTGCTTTAGGGAAGAGCTGACCAAAAGCCACCCTCCAATCGATGATCTAAGAGCATGCCAGATCCAGCAAACGTCTGGAATGAAGTGACATGCAGTGTGTGCTGTCCCCTCTGCATGAGCAAGTCCCAGCCCAGCAGCCCAGCAGCCCAGCAGCCCAGCAGCCCAGCAGCCCAGCAGCCCAGCAGCCCAGCAGCCCAGCAGCCCAGCAGCCCAGCAGCCCAGCAGCCCAAAGGGTCATGTGTGCCAAGGCCGAGCAGGGAAGCTTTCTGCTTCTTGCCTGGTTGTGGGAACCCGAATCAGCCCTTCTTACTAGAGTTCTCCCAGCTCCCTAGCAGCAGGCTGACCTGCCTTTTGTTGTTTGCACATCCTGCTGGCCCAGGTTTAGGCATTTGCACCTTTCTGGTGAATCTCTTAATTGGAGAGGCAGATATGGGCTATCTTCAGTTTTAAAGTTACAGCCACCAACCTCCATTGTACCAGCATCAAGGAGTATGAGAAGGACGGGAAGGGATGCATCTGGCTCCTGGTGCTCCAATTTGTCTACAGTGGAGGGAATACAGACAACTCCACACCGACGCCCTCAGCAGCTTGAAGTTTTAGGAAAGTGGACTCAGACTGAATCAAGATCGTTCATTTTGATGCCACAAAGAAATTCAGAACCAGCCAGTTTACGAGGCAGAGTTGGAGACTTTGTTAAAGGTATCATCATATAGGCTTAACCTCTAGCATAAGGGAGAGGGAGGTTCTAGAAGAAAGGCAGGCATATTCAAGAGTTTGAGGATAGGCTTCACTGAGAGTCCAGCTCCTTGTTTTATCAATAGCCAAATTTAAGATCTTGGTTAGGTCTGGCGTTCCTATCTTATCTCTGGGTTCCTGTGGGGGTTCTTAACAGGATTACAGTTGATTAGGCAAGAGTCTAGCCCCTGGGAATTCAGGAAAGTAGGATGAGTTTCTTGTAAACAGCTTTGTTTGAGGTTCTTAGAGTAATTCTGTGGAAAGGAATGAGGCTCTTCTCATTCAGGCCTTTAAACTTTGTTCATTGAGACTTTAACTCTTATCTATATGTGAAAGTAATATTAACTGTGTCAGCAGTCTTTGCAGAACATTTTGTTAATTTTGCTGGATTTCTCAACTGAAAAAAAAACAGTTTAATCAGATTTTGAGAAGAGGTTTTCTTCCCCTTTCCACATATGTCCCCATAAATTCCCTTTTTCATCCTGCCTCCCCGTGAGGCAGCTCTGAGGTGAACAGCTCTGAGGCCCAGGCGGGCAGGGCCTTTGAACTGCCTTCATAGAATACAAGGTCAGGAAAATCTGGGGATCTGAGCTGTGTTGTCATTCCCCCTCCTCGGAGCCTTTGATGATGCCTGTAGCACAGGGTGCTTTTGTGACCATCGGAAGCTTACTCTGGTGTTGTTTGGGAGACCGACAGTGCTGGGTTTCTCTAACCTGGGCCTTTTGAAATCTTGTCATTCTTGGTATTTGCTTTGTGTTGGTTCTGGGAAAGGACTCAGAACTCCCTCCAAACAGAAGGCAGGTTGACCGGGTGGGGCATGGGTGAACTGAGGGGCCTTTAACTCCAGCCTAGCTCCACATTCATCTATTTTACATAATAGAGGGCAATTGTGCAGAAGCCTGACTGTGACTTGGAGTTTCTAACCCTGACTTCCCTGACACCACTTTGTCCAGCTGGTGTGACTGTTTATATAAAGGCTATGGCTTTAAGCTGAGTGGGTTCTTGAGGTGGAGGGAATCCAGGGGAGGTGAGAGTTGGCTCTTGACGGCTTTATGTTAGAGTGAGAAGTTTACTGCACAGGAAGTGCTTCCTGGAGTCCCCTATCCTTGGCCGTTTGTACACTGTTAGCTGGACTCACTGCTCATCACCAAAGGCATCATTTTGTCTGGCGTCTGTTTTTTTTAGAAGGACTAATCCACAGCTCTGACATGAGGAGTCAGGCATACCCTGGCCTGGGCTCTCCCTTGGATGCTCTCCGATACCTAGCACCATGTTTTTGGCAGCTGACTTAGTGAAGGAGCAAACAGGAAGGCCTATTGATGGTAGTCCAGGGACTGTGGCTTGATAACTGTAAACTACTCTCAGAACATCTGCCAGGTTCAGGTACTATGCTAAGTCATATGTGCCTGTCTCCTGATGTGTATAGACATGCTTATGTTTTATATTAACCATAGATTCTACCAAAAGCCTGTTCTACAGATGAGGAAATCAATTCTCCCACCCTTGGATCCCAGTAAATGTGCTGTTAGTGCAGGGAAATGCAAGCTGATGTTATTGAACTCGAGCGCTGTACTTCCGCACTTCTGAACACTGCCGGTATTTCCACCAGGTGAGCAGTGCTATCTCCATTTTAGAATTTTTGCCTGAGATGTAAGGAGATAACTTACCCAAGGTGATATATGTGATGAGGTAGAGAAGCCAGAACGCAAACCCCTGCCTCCAGGCGTCTGTCTGTAACTGCTATGCGGAACTTAACCAGCTCTATTGTTTGGCTTAAATTTGTTGTTAAAATACAAAAATGTCTACAGACATAAGAAATTTGCAGTAATGCGTACAATTTATAAACAGCTATAAAAACAGAGTTTTGACAGCACACAGTGTCAGATACAGGACACTGGCCTCTCTAAACAGGATCACTTGTCTACCCTGGCCAGATTAAACAAGAGGAAACCTAGCATCAGGTTTGAGTTCTTCTTTCATTGACTTTGCCACTGGACTTGAATCCGCAGGGCATGTGGTACCTCCCCACATCATTGTGCCATCCAAAATAGCATTAACAACTTTAAGGCTTTTGCCATCACAGAATTGAGTCCCCACTCCTAGGTACACCTCAGTCACTCTCTGGGGTGATCTCCATTTCAGGAAAGCAGTTAGATTTGTGACTTAAAGGATTCACTAAGTAGACATTTAAATCATGTATGGCTGTAGTAGAACCTGGGGATATTATTATTGCCCATTCTCTGTTATTCTTCCTACCAACAAAGATGTCTTTAATGGAGGTAGATAGGCCTAGCACTTGATCAGTCCTTGACCTGACATCTGGGCGCAGTGGTGTTCCTCAGGCCTGTGCCGTCTTGCATATTCATGGTCTCAGTTCCCCTGCGACATTTGTTCACATTCCTGTTTAACCTGCAATTATGCAGCCAGTCATGGTAATATTTGGTCTTTGGTGAGCATAGATCCAAATGGCACATATGAGTGGCCTCATAATTTTTGTTTTGTTCTTTTGTTTTTTGCTGTTGTTATTTATTTGTTTGCTTGTTTTTTGTTTGTTTTTAAGACATAGTATCAAACTGGCTGCTTCTGAAATGCTGTTCCACAGTGAGCGTCAGACATCTCATCTGGAGAAGTTTGAACACACCTTTGATAACCTAGTCTAAGATTTTCATTCATGTGAGAGTACAATTTAAGAACGCTTGTTCAAGAACATACCCACAGTGGCACACATCTATAATTTCAGCACTCAGAAGGCTGAGGCATGAAGGCTGTGAGCACAAGCCATCTTGGCTTGCATAGTGAGACCATATCTCTAAACAAACAAACAAAAATCACCCACAGATGGCTCTAGTCATACCTCCCTACTCCAGAGACAGTATTCTAGTATCTAGCCTACCTCAGGGACTGGCACCCTTTCCTAGATCCTGCTTCCCTCAGCCTCATTAGTCATCACATGACTTGGCTGGCACCCACTCCCTTCTCTCCTTCATTCTCCAGTTACTCTTTGATTCTCAGGCCTCATTACGCATAAGGACATAGACCTATATACAGATGTGGCAGGGAGTGGCCTAGGTTATGAAGGCATTTGGTCTTTACTCTGCAGGCAGTAGAAAGCTGCCCTCAGCTCTTTGAAGGAGAAAAATCCTGAGCTCTAGTCTGTGTTTAGGGAGATAAGCCTCCCTGTCCCATGGGCTGCTGTAAAGCAGTTAGGGTTTGTCCATCTTAACAAGTTCAATCCAATAATTCATCTTCAGGGCAGGCGATGTCCTTAGCTCACATTCCCCATAAATGACACTTACCAATGCCATTATCCTCTTGGAAATTCTGTCACCAACAAGTTGGTCTTCTTTGGAATCACCATTTAGTTTCTTCATGTATCTAGTGAGTTTCATATATATGGGTGTGTATGTACATGTGTGTACATGTACGTGTGTGTATGTATGTATGTATGTATGTATGTATGTATGTATGATGTGTAGATATCCAGAGGCATTGTGAACTATGTGATAATGACTCTGGAAGAGCAGTAAGTGCTCTTAACTACTGGGGCCATCTCTCCAGCCCTGTGATGGGTTTCTTGAGTCCCATGCATATGGTATCTACCAACCACAGATAGCAATTATTGAGAGAACTTTGATATGAACTTGGAGTTGCTGAGGGAAGTTTCAACTACTCTCTGATACATGAATGTTGTCCTTGAAAGAAGGTCTGAGTGAAGTACAGAATGCACTGCCCAGCATGTCCACTCTGCAGCCCTGGGACATCACAGCATTCATTTCACAGCCCTTTTTTCCTTTGTAGCTCTTACCCCCAAACTCAGTGGTATTCTCTGACCCATTCATGGTTGGTTCTTATTTTCCATTTCCTTTGTCAGGTCACTGTGGGGTGTTATTTCATGTTCTCTTCAGGGGGTGATTGCTCTCTGCTATTTTTCCAAGATCTCCTTTTGGGCAATTTTCCTTCCCACCTTGTGACCGTGGAAGTGAATGTTTGTACAGTTGGCTTTTCAGTTCATTGCTGCTGCTTTCTGCATCTCTGTGGAGCTCCAGGAGAGGAGGAGAGTACAGAGGGCGAGGCAAGCTGTCTCCCAGTGACTCAAAGGCTCGTCCCCAGCCCTCCCTCCAAAGGGTTGGGTGAAGAAAAGTTGCAAATCCATAGACAGATACCTTCTGGAAAGGGATGCACACCTCTGGTCTCCTAAAAAGGAAGAAGTGTGAACAGTTTGTACATATGAGCCTGAAGACTGCAGAGGAGTAAAAACCATGCTTGCCCTGCATCTGAGTGATTAAAGCAAGTACAAGTTGGTCAAGTTTCTAGGTCCACAAAATACCAGTAGCTGGGTATTTATAAAGAACAGGCTTATTTTGGCTCATGGTTCTAGAAGTCCCAAGGCCCAGAGTTGGCATCTGCTTGATCTTTGGTGAGGGCCTCATGACAGAAAAGCAGAATGGAGAGCAGGCGTGTGCAAGAAGGCACACGTGAGCTGGTGAGTGGTGAGGCTCCAGGCTTGCTTTCTGGTTCCATGAGAGTAAGAACTCCCTCAAGACCCCATGAATGCCTCCATGAGGATGGAGTACCCATGGCCTGACCACGTCCCAAAGGCCTCACCTCCCAATATAGCTGTATTGGGAATCAAATATCACCCCAAGTTTTGATGGAAACAAGCCATATCCAAACCATAGCATCACCCAATTGAGAAAGCATCAATCTATTTGCCCTATTCTTCTCTCTCAGAGTTTGAGGGTACAAGGTAAAGGAATCATCACCCATGATTCTTAAACAAGAAGCTAGGTGAGTGTTGAAACTCACTGCCATAGAGAATGCACCCTTCCTGTGCTGTCCAATCCCATAGCTGCTAGGAGCATGTGGTACTTGAGATGTGGCTAGATTGTCCAAGGGACCACATGTGCTATTTTTGTCCTTCTTGATTTAAGTAGCTAAAATCAGCTAGTGTCTCCCACACTAGACAGAACAAGAACAGAGTTAGAGGATTAGAGACAATGACTTCATTTCTGCCCTCT